TACACACACTTTGCACGTCCATACCATTATTGAATTTGAAATATTTCAGTTCTTGCAAATCACATGTAATATTACATGAACAAATTTTATTTAATAAAACATTATAAAAGCAGGTTTCTTCTTAATTCACATTATTTGTGATATATAGATAGATATATAGATTGCTAAACAAAAAAACTTATAAATCAAGTTGCCATATTGGAAAGCGGCCCCACAAATAAAGCCATAGAAACACTTCTTAGCTAATTCTTTCTTTTCTACTGTAAATAAATCCCCAAATATTTCCACAAGTTCTTCCCAGTTTCTTTTTTTCAAGTCCCGGTTTGCGTATTCAATAGCAGATGAATCCCATAGTCGGGACTGAATTTCAATTATCAATCTTTCGGTGTCGAAATTATCCATGTTTGGAAGAAACAGAAATACACACAAGCACATTCACGCACGGACGTCAATGGACTGGCCAGACTGTCATGTGATGTTGATTTGGCCTTGGCCGTGGCAGCGATGCCAGTAGCAATTGAACTTGGCATCTTGGTTGGCAGCGATGCCAGACGGATGCCAGGTGCGATATATGACTACTAAATTAATGCATTGAGTTTGGCCGAGATGCTGGCAGCTGAGCCATGGCCTCCCGTTGGCATCCTAGTGCGATACCGCCCTAAATGTAGTCTGCTTTTAAGGTGGGACTAAAGTTAGAATGACATAAGACGGTGTTTGAATGGCTACTTGCGCATTGAGAGACAGATCCAAAAGACTGAGATGTTGCTACATTTGTTGCAATTCTTATGCCTTTTAATGTTAAACATATAGCGCGGTAGATGTTAGCGTTAATTATAAGTAGAGCTTTTACTGACAGTTAGATGCCTCATTGTACAGTTCAATAGTTCAGTGTCCTAAGTCCAGCGTCTGAAAAGTAGGACTTAACAACTTGATGCACACTCGAAAGAAGGTGTTCAGAAAGGGTGACTGGCGATGATTGGTTTAGCCGGACAAACTCAAAAAATTAAGGCTCGCGTTCTTGCAGCATGAAATAGTTTCTGGTTTTATCGAAACAACTGGGTTTATTTCTGACTTCTGTACGCCGGGACCCCAGCGTCCGTTACCGGGAACTTGAAAGACGAAACTTGTCTTCCGTTCCTGTTATCGTCCGATGAATTGTCGCCGTATATTTTCGGAAACTTCATTTTCCCCCTCTGATCCCTGTTCTGTGGGAACTTGAGCGCGTCTTTTCGGCTAGACGTGAAACCGACAGATTCGTCGTCGTGACTTCCGAAATCTGAAAATGGCGAATTGCTACTAACAACAGCCCCTGTTATATCGTTGTTGTCCAATTTGAGATCTCCAGTTCCTGTTTTGTCCGGAAACGTCATGGGTACGCTTGGTTTAGTCTGTTTTTTAGGTGGTCTTTCGATATGAAGACCGGGGTTCGAGTCTTCACCACGTGGGAAATATACTGTTGAATTTTCTGTACCATTTCGATTGAAGAAGTTGAACCCTTTTGATTTCCTGTTGTTCGCGTTGCAAGGGAACACTAAGGACAGTCTGGCTGGTGATGACTCACAGTTCAAGAAGCCTTGGTCGCGATGAGGAGGCAACGGTGGTTTCAAGCCGGTGATCTGATACGGGAACAGAAGAGGCCGATTTCCTTTGAGGTCTTCTAGAGGTCGCATCGTTGCGGTAAAGTGCGATAATCCTGTTTGGATGCGACCTGACTGGTATGGTTGATGCGTGCCGAAGAATCTGAAGAACCCACCGTTGTGATTGTTGAGGTAGTCCACAAGGCGGTCTGGGTCTCGTGGACAGTTGGGGTAGGCTGAGAAGCAAGTTTTCGGGTCGCCCTGTGCGGTGATGCCCAGTAGAACTGCGCGTCCGAACACCGTAAACGGCGAAGTGTCACCGAAATTCAGTGCCGTCAGCAACCTGGACGTTTTGTGGGTGGGAAGAAACAGTCAGTCAACCTTGAACTGTCTAGAGAAGCCAGCAGAAGAATTGTTTCGTATTGTGGAGTTTGTGATGTGTGTCTATTTACAATGTGACACATCGAAGATGTTCAGAACGGATCTACCGTTTAGCAAAGCGATGATCAGTGTTCTGAACATTGGTTTTGTTACAAGTCTGAGTTATTAATCCCAGGATCGCCCGTTGAAATTCGTTGTCAATCATATATATATATATATATATATATTCTACGTGGGGAATTATACGTATTTATTTTTTCTATAACACACTAAGACTTTTGGATACCGCTGCTCACAATTTTCGGTAATGGAAATTTTCTATAATTTTCCCGGGTTTGATTCTTCAAGAGGAACGTGAATTTACATATGAAGTCACATACTTTCTAATATATGTCGTGTTAAATGTTTATAGACCGTGGGCCTTTTCTCTCACTAGTAGTATGCCGTTGTAATGTATGTATCTAGACTGCTAACTAGGTTATAAATGTTTACTTTTACAACCCAAGGCAACTTATTACAACCTGGAACTCCAATTATCAAGGGCTACATGTTTCGGCATGTACTGTGTGCCATTATTTCTCTCGTGCGTACGTGAAATGATTGATGCTTCTTATATAAAAAGTAAAACTTCCCCACTGTACGCCATGTAGGCACTTGGGGGAGGGTGGTATAGCTCCTACTCATTCATAACCTCGAAAGTAGTTAGGGTGAATTATCAGCTTCACTCCCCGGCCTCGCTTTACCTCCGGGAAAAGACCTCATTACCCATTGGATAGGAGGTTGGTTGGGCCCCAGAAGCTGTGTGGATGCAGAGGCTGGAGGAAAAACCCTCCGGCTGTCGGGGATCGAACCCCGGTTGTCCAGACCGTAGTCAGTCAGTGACCGATGTTCCCAGGCATTTCACATGACGTGGTTTCCTCGATACGGGTGAGACTATGCATTGAATTACTTACGACATGAGGGTGTCGGTGCTGATGGGTGGCAACACCAAGTCTTGCTGCTTGCTGCCAGGGTGACCGGGTCTCCCCCCTGCCGCTGTTTCGCACAGCAGTCTGGGTACGCATTTCAAGTCGTCGTACGTCGCTATGGAAGTCAGGGCACTTCCAAATGGACGCTGACCCCCTGGAAACTGATCCGAAACCGGAGATCCAAGTGGGAAGTTTCCCGGTTGTCCCAGTAACTCTCCACCGGAGAAGGTGCCGGGAATGAGTCTGTCAGGGAACAGATGTTGGAATTGTGGAATGTAATGTGAAAGATGTGGGATGAGGCCTCCGGCTGGGAACTGCTGAATGATGCTGGATGCTGACGGCCTCGAGAGCGACCTGAACGAAAACCGAGCGGTTTAGTCGAGGCAACGCAGTTTTTAATTAACCTCACAGATTTGCCATTCAAACACCAGATTTTATCAATAAGAAATGCTGTTATATAATATCTCACATACCCGGCACTGCCGTACGTTAGTCGCTTGTCCACTTTATTTCCGCTGCAATGTGACCTGAAACTGCACGCGGCCAAGAGGAATATCATCAGTGTCATGGCGGGGGTTGTTTCACTTTGATTCTTTCCCAAGGGGCCCTGAAAATAAAAAAAAAATGGCAAACCCAAACTATAAGTAGGCTAAGTCTTTGATCATAGCTGAGGAAAAAAGTTATAATAATACAACTGAAATTTTTGAGAATAACCAAAACAAAAACCCGGCCTTTATACACGATTCTAAAGTCAGTATATCCGCTTCAATGAAGGTAAATTGCAGACGAAAACATATGTATCTGAATCAAAAGCGACGAATTAACGCAAATGTTGTCAGCTTCTGCGTAAGCATGCGCGTGTGTAATATTATTAGAAAGATATTGCACTGACACGAAGAACTGGTCATTGGGCCGACGTGAAACATGTAAACACGGACGGACAGGATTTCACCCCCCCCCCCAATTTTTCCTCAATTTCATGCAAATAAAACGCAGTTAACCAAGATGCAAAGTTCTCTGGCTGTGCGTGTAAGTTGGTACTTGTATTTGCTTACCGTGTTGGAACGATCAACAGATCAGCAGGACGTCACTTACGAATTGCACATCCACTCGTTGCTCAATGCGGGATACGATTTCATATTCTGTCTGTGGGCGACCATCATCTGCCGCGAGTTTCTCTGTCGCCCCCAGAGCCCCTCCACCCGCAACGCCCACTTGCGCAGACCTGAACTTGATTTCACTTGTCTTCATTGTCGGTCATTGTCAGCATTTCCTGTTTCTTTCTTTTTTTCCTTTCTTTCTGTTACCATGTTTACCTCGTCGTTTTATATTGTCTCTTCTTCTAAAAGCACGTTCGGAACTTAAAGATTATAGATTACACCTGTCAGCTTTGCGATGTAACTCGAAGATTGCAGAACAAAATTCTTCACGAAATTCTTGTATCAAGGAATTTTACTGGTATCTGACGACAAATTCTAGTTTTAGCTAAGCAGACACTTTACGTGAAGGCCTATATGCATTTCTGCGCTAGGAAGAAATTGGGTGGGGAATCCCCGGCCGAGGAATCACTTACCACTTACCAAGGTGAAAGGTAACATTATGGCGACCTCTGGAGAGTTTTTTTTTTTTTTGGGGGGGGGGGGGGGACTATGCGTTGTCTGCATTTACTAACATTTTTACAGTCCGTTTACAATTAACAGTGCCCGTATCGGTTCCCGTAAAATGCGTGCTTCCTATTGGCTGGCAGGCAGGAGAGTCAACACGATGATTTTATTTCTTAAGACAGAGAATGCAGTCAGGCAGTCAGGAAAGTGTCAAAGTAGGTGAGTGGTTATTAATGGTGATATGTGGCGTTCGGGATTTCTCAAGTAAAATGTCAGAATCGTCGGCTCATTGTGAAATAGGCTTTCCGTTTCTCGCGTCTAAAACTACTTCTTGATTATTATTATTAGTGTTCTGTCTGAGGACAGGTCAGGTCCATATGAACAGGATCCTTCCATCCTTTTCTCTTCTCGGACTGGGACCTGTTCATATACGTTCTTGGCAGATGATCCATAAGTGGTTTGCCATTGCCTTCTTCTGTGTGTGAATGGAGTAATTGTTGGGATGCCACGGAGGAAAACTCCGTGTTGCCTAGACCACGGCCTTGCCCAACACAAGTTATAAATTCGGGCACCGCCGGGAATCGAACCCGAGACCCCAGGATTACAAGGCCCGCGTTCTAACCGCTAGACCACCGTGGCCATCACTTCTGGATATAGTGAGGTTTTCGCGAGGAATATTGGCATCAAAATCTAGTTCTATTCATATGCTAACGCAATTCTGACGCGTTGTGGTGGTGCATATTAATCAGTTATTTATTATTTTTGTATTAATTTATGGAAATCTTTATGTTTCATTCTTGCATGAAAATCGTGAACTGTTTTCCCACGCTCGTGATCATAGTTGAGGGTAAGTTTTTCTTTTACGGTCTAATTTAAAACGGACGCAATTTGTTACGTTGCTGTATCTCAGTTTGCAGACATGATGTTTAGGAACAAACTGCGTTGTTTATGCTAATAGTGTGTGCACACAGGAGTAACACGTCACGTCCAACAAGCCTTTGTGTGTGGTCGCTTCCATTTTCTCGGTCACATGAAAATAAATTGTGATTTCTGTACTATGTAATGTTATGCTGTGTTAGCCGTACAAGAACGTATGAAAAGTCAGTTTCAAGGGCGGTAAGGAGACTTTCTACGGCTTGCAAAGCCTCGCTTTGATGGTGCTAGACTTCGTAGGCTAATCTTATATATTTATCGTTTATTTAACGACGCTGACAGCACCTCAGACGTCAGATGACTCGCTAATCAATTAATGATGAATTGAAAAGCGCGTAAAATGAATAGGTCCTGCCTGAGGATTCCAAGAAAACCTCCAGGCCCAGATTTGAACGCGGGACGTCCCAAATAAAAACGAAGGAGTGCTAACTTGACAGCTGTGTTCGATGGAAAGAGTTGATCTTTACTGAAAACCCCCCAAAACGCCTTTATATCCTGTTCGCCAATGATGTGCCCCCCCCCCCCACGAGAATTCTTCCTTTGGGGTTACTTTAAATATTAAATCTTTTATTTAAACTTTTCTTCGGGTATTACTTCGTGCCTCATGCCGTAGATGAAGACGTTTACCTGCTAGATTAGGCAGTAAAGTGATTGTGTTAAATGTGTCCCTTGTCACCACTGCGTGGCGCGACCTTATGTTGGGGAAGGAGATAAGGAGGGTAGCTGAGGTCGCGGTCAGCCAACAAGTGATTGTCCTTCTGCTAGGGGTTTTGGTGGGGTTGAAACAGCTTAAAAAAACAGCACGTTACCAAGCGATACGCAGGTTCTGGAACTTGAATAGAAAGACAGAAGTGAAAGGTACTCAGAAGACCTAGGCGTAGATGCGAGGATATTATTAAAGTGGGTCTTAGGGAAGTGAGGTTGGAATGTTTGTTTTGGAAGCGTATGCCAGAGGTTATGAACATATAGCGTGGTGCTGTAAAGGCAGTAAAGAATTTTCGGGTTCTGAAAAAGACCGATAATTTTTTTTCTGTGTTCTGTTTTTAAAGGGGACAAGCACTCATTTCTGTTTGCTATGTCAGCCATCGTCGCATTCAAGTCGGGAGGAATCTAAACGTAGGTTAATCGGCCAGAGCGTGAAGCTAACAGATCACTTTCATATGCTGTGTTTGTAGTGTGGCATATATGGAGCTCCCCTATACGCGTTTGTCTCAACTATACGCGAGAGGTCTCATTATGAATGTAGAGCACACGTCGCTTTGCCTTATCAGAGAAATCTACTGGTAATAATAGTTTTACAGCGACATTCTTAGTTCTCATGTAACTTTACTTTGTAAACCAGAAGTTACAGACCAGTTCCATAACCATAATGTTATGCCATCAAGATATGGAAGCTGAGACTTCTAGCCATTTGCATAATTTTCTTGATAATAACCTAAGATGTTTGCCCTACAAACGTGTTTTATTTGAAACGCATGTTTCAGTATGAAATTAGACGTGTTATGACGTTTCAATTCGCGCATTAGCTTGTGAAATCATCATTCCTGTGTCTATGTCCTTATCAGTTGGCCGATTTCCATTAGGTTCGCTGTCATCGGATCACAAGTGGAAATAAACATCTCTTCCGCTCCTACGACGCCTTTCTGGGCTAAGCCGAAGATCGAATATCCTGACTGTGGGTCCCTCCGGACAAATGACAGAATAAGTAATACCTTAATAGGGCCTCTGGCCTTTTAGGTGTGGAATTCCGAGGTTAATGTTATTGTTATGAACAAAAATGTTGAGAATAATTCGTATGACTTTCACGGATACGTTGGGAAGCCCTGGTCTACGTGATTCCAAGGGGTTTGGGGCTTCCGTCAGAGAGACTTAAGTGACAGTGTGAGCTAGTGGGTCGCACCGGTTCCGTGTACTTAATTTCTGGGAATCAGGTAACACATAAGTTGGAGGAGAGCGAAGACAATGGTAAACGTGACGTAATTATATGGCATCTTAACCCTTGCTTGCACAGTGCAGTGGGTAAGATTTCTTACCCACTACCGAAACGTCGGCTTCAGCGGATTGAAGGCAGGTGCTTCAATTAAATCTACACTGTAAATATGACAGAGAGTTTTCTCTTTTCTGTTCCAGGTGAGTGCAGTTGCCAATTTGCCGTAGCAGACAAGTAAGTTCCGTATTTAAATTATTTTGGTGAGTGAAGCGAAATGCATTGTGGTTGGATGACAGCGTCAATAATTGAGAGAATCAAGATTTTATTTCGTGGGGGATGAGCTCTCGTGGCCGCATTCAGTTTTAAATCACATTCTGTTGAAGACGCTCCTAATAAAATAGCGTAGCAGTTAAAGTGTATTAATATGACATCGCCCTGATGATGGAGGCAGATAAGGTACCTCTGAAACGTCGGTAAACTAGTACTAATACCGTACAAGATATTTGAAATTCCTCTGCGATTTTGTAACAATATTTGAAACGTCGAATGTTATACAGAGAAGGCGGTTGTTTGTAATCGTGTTTGGTGTTTGCAAAGTGCATGCACGTTTCTTGCAGTGTGTGTGTGTCTGTCCGACTGGTCAGTGACTCGTGATGCGTATTGCGTTTTGCTTTGTCATGCTTTGAATAATTTGCTGGTCACGCATGCGCAACTGTAGTGTCTAGAATGTGCAATTACGGCGTCTGACATAACTGAGGACGAAAAAGTTTCATAAGGAGGGGGAAAAACGTCGGTTGTAGCACAAAAGCTTAAAAAAGAAAGTACAAGATTCAGGGGTAATTGGTCTCTTAACATACTTTATAAACATGGAAGTAGACCGTGTATGTACATAGTTTTTAATATTGTTCTGAAGTGTTTCAAAATGAAGTACAATGAATATTTAAATAGATTTGCCAGGAGGGAGACTTCCACGAAGTGAAAGTGGTGTTGGTAGTTGGATTGAAGCCGGTAAAGTCTTGTAGCCTGTCCTTGAAAGGCAAAAGATGACGAAAAATGAGGAAGAGATTAAACAGAAGAATAATAAACGAAGGAGACGATTAAAGGAAGAGTTAATTTAAAGAAAGATTGTTCAGAAAAAAAAATCATAATTGAAAAATGAAGATAAGGGGAATTCTGTTATTTTTCGTTGAAAGACATTTTTGAATTCCAGTGACAAATTTTTAGTTGATTACAATTTTTTTTCTTCCAGAATTAGATACAGTTCTGATAAATGATCTATGCGAGGAGGTTGTAAACAATTTAGTTAATAACTTTGACACTTCATTTATTAAAGTGCCAAGTTTTTACTTGCAAATTTTGTTCCTAGCGTTTTAATTTTCGGCACATTTTCAAATAATTAATTGGTTCCGTGGAAGTTACATTAAGAAATTTCGTTGGTTTTGGAAAAAAAAATATTTTATATCAGAAATAGTTTTTGTATTATTAGAAACACGGCCTTCTTTACATTTCAAAGTTAGATCTGCATTAGCAATAAACGGACATCGATATCAGACAATCGAGTAAATTCTTGTCAGATCGCTTGGTCGTGGTTAGTTCACGAACATTATGTAGAATGAGTGTACGTACGCCACTGTTTGCGGCATGTAACAGTTCTGTATGCATTTTAGCACCGTCATTACAAATGCCAACAGCGGTGCATGGAGAAAGTGAGACTTCAACTTTCTCTTTCTTCCCACCTTCAAAGTCCCATGTACTATTAAAGCTTGTTTGTTGCATTGCCCACACACGATCGTCGATCACGTGGCAACAAGTTTGGAGCTCAACATTGGAAGTCTGCTGTCCATAAAAGCAGATTTCACAGGATTTCATGTGATAAATGACACACGAATAGATAAAAGATGCCCTCAGAGGCATGTCAGGTAGCCCAGATTTACTTCAGAGATGACAGATAGTGACGTTCTCCTACTCTAAGATTTTGTACGGGTCTCGGGTTCGATTCCCGGCGGTGCCCGGATTTATAACTTGTGTTGGGCAAGGCCGTGGTCTAGGCAACACGGAGTTTTCATCCGTGGCATCCCAACAATTACTCCATTCACACACAGAAGAAGGCAATGGCAAACCACTTCTGGATCATCTGCCAAGAACGTATATGAACAGGTCCCAGTCCGAGAAAAGGATGGACGGATCCTGTTCATACGGACCTGTCGTCAGACAGAACACTAAATAAATAAATAATAATATAGTTGTATGTTTCATTTAAATAGTTTGGAAGAGTTTGAAACTGCTATAACATTTTTTTTTCAGTTGTTCCACGAAACATGACATGGCATTTTCAGACGGAAACGTTTTTAATTATACGTAAAGATTCAATTCTTGAGGTCCGTTCACGAGAATAAGAGAGTGGGGATGTAGCTCAGTGGTAGAGCGTTCGCTTTGCATGTGAAAGGCCCCGGGTTCGATCCCCGGCATCTCCATATTTTTATTTTTCAAATAATAAACACCGTTGCGTTTTCAATTTTGTATTGACATCTACTTGTTTTAGTTTTTCGATTTGAGATCTATTTATTGTTTTTAAAGTCTTTGTTTCAATACGTTTTAATTTCGCGCAAAACATGGTCGGCGCTGGACTGTGGTATGTGGCAATAACGTCACAAACGTATTTTCCCGACGCCGACAGAGAATTCTGAATAAAGCGACGACGATTCGACGCTAGCAGACCGATGCTTAGCATCGGGACGCCTGTTCTGACGCCGACACAATATTTTTTATAATGCGAAGACGACCCTCTGTAGACGCCTAAAGGCATGACGCTGCCGAGCGTCTCGATGCTGACGACATTCGGAACAAAGCGAAGACGGGTGTGACGCTTGCAATAGGACGCCGAGCGTCTCGATGCTGACTAGACGAGTCTCGGCAGTGTATCCATCGAAAATGTTTATTAGAAATAATACGTTTAGAATATGTTTTAAAATTTTTAATAACCTTAAGCAAACAATTAAAAGAATTACATTGCCTTAAGATGACAGTTGAAATGATTGTTTAACGTAAAGAAACATTAATAAACAATGACAATGATTTGACTTATATCGGGAGATTCAGGTAAAATTGTCCCTGATACTTCTTCATTAAGGACCACGCCATGCAGACATGTAGGGGAGTGGAGGTAAAACACCACACATTCTTAATCTCACAACTAAATGGAGGTGAGTGTTAATCCTCACTCTCCAGTCGTTTTACTCCCGAGGAAAGATGCACTGAATAGAAGGCTGGGCAGATTAAGTTCAGTACTTTAACAGCGTTTGAAAACATTAGTGTGTTGTGTCAATCACTCGTCTGCTTTAATGTTCTGTTAATGTGAATTATCTCGTGCCACGTGATCTGGTTGTCTTGCTGGAGGAATCCTCGTGCAGCCTCGACCTCTCTTGGCCAGCTGGTGGCACAGCCCCGGGGAAGCAACAATGTCCCCAAGGAACACGCTGAGCAGGTAATTCCGCTTGTCGTTCGTAGGAAATCCTTCATATCCTCTGGAACAGGAGTTTTATATTTCATCAGTAGAGGAGTAACGCTGAGAGAACCCGCACAGCGCAGGGAATGACGAGTTAGCGCTGAGTCGAGTTGCAGTACTCACTTGATCACTTGGTCCCAGTCCAGGACGTGGTTCGAGCCCCGCTTTGTCCTTGCGTGTTCCGCGTACTGATGGCACACTTGTTCGAACACGCACACGTGTTCCCCCATTTCTGCAACGAGCCTCTTTTCCACCGCCGCGACGTCCAGTGGCGGCTCCTTGAACGCCAAGCTGCGTCGTGTTCTGCTCGTGTAAGTTCCTGTGGGAAACACAACAGGACTGCCAACTTAACTACACGGTGAAATTATTTGATGTCGGTACCAGGTTTCTGAATGCAGTCCCATTACGATCTGCTGCTTATGTTCAAGGACGAAAGAGTGGTCCCATGGTGTAATGGTTAGCACTCTGGACTTTGAATCCAGCGATCCGAGTTCAAATCTCGGTGGGACCTAATTTTTTTTTTTAAATTTTTGGTGCGTAATTTTTTAATTTTTCAAGAAATGAGATGTATAGAATATCAGTTGGGTGAAATCAGAAAGAGTTAGAAACCTTTAAATATGCCCTTGGTTTACAGCTCTGTATCATTAACAATGTTAGTTTGGCTGTCGTGCGAACTTCTGAAGTGGGAATGGCCTGTCTACCACAGGTAGTTTACTTACGTGGGTTCAGGGAATAAGCAAGTTTCTTCACGAAATTTGTCAACCTCACAGCCAGGATAATGACCGGAAATCCGACGAGCTGCACCGGGAATTCAAACAGGGACTCCTGTGGGCTAGGCGCCGCGACGCTTAGAGGCGGCGTCCCGAGTAGAAACACGAGCTGTAGGACGACGGCCGTCCCCGCAACCAGACGCTTCGCTCGCATCCTGTATTCAGTTCGGCCACGAACTAACTACAAGTTCAATCTCACAGCCTGACCATCGCTTGGTCGTTCCCTTAAGCTCTTCCTGTCTTCCTGGGAACAACCCTTATTTTTTTGCGATCACCGCGACGGCCAGGTGTTGACGTTCGATATTCGATGCCGCACTTATCACCAATCACCGGTATCGAAATCCACTTCTGTCCTTTTGATTCCGCACCCTGAAATGAGTCATGAAGATTAATTAACAATGAATTTAATTTTAAAATAAATGACAAATATTTTTGACCTCTAAATACACTCTGAAATCTCAGAGGATCGAAATGAGACAAGAAGATTTCTGTCTTCTGGGTTGTTGCGCTGTGTAGTCTGGTCGATGTTAACCAACGTTTCAGAGGTCATACTGCCTCCGTCATCAGGGCGATGAATATGAAAATGAGACAAATTTAAAATCGTAACTGGCTCTCAGGAAAAAAAAAATTGTATACCTCACACCAATATAGTATTTGTTGTAATGTAGGTAGAAAATGTGAAAAAATTGAAAGCGATAGATTTAAAATTATCATACAGAAATTTATTTACCTACAGCTAGCAGACGAATGAATTAAGTTATTAACTAAGTCGCTGACTGAATTCAGCAGCTACTGAATAAATTATCTAAAGACAGAGTAACTAATCGACCGTATAAATAAATTAATTAAGACTGACTGAAGAACTGTGGTAGCCAGACTAACCTTGATACCGAAAGTAACTAAACTGAGTAACTGACTTATGTAAGTAACTAGATAAAAAAAAATAATTAATTTTGAAAACAAAATAATTCACTGTGCAAAGGAATTTGCTAATGAAGTCTATCTAATGTAAATATTCTGATTTATTTACGGAGGAATCTAAAGTTAAAAACGGGAAATAATGTAATATCGTATTTACGATAAAAAGAGCCAAAATATAATATTTTATACTACATAATGTTTTAATATTATATAATTTTAACAACATCATTTAATTACAACGTTTGTGTATAGACTGTGAAAATAAATATATATTTAATCAACACAAACATGACGCATTTAAGCTACAAAAAAAAAATAAAAAAAATGAGTTAAGGAGTTGACTGGTAAAACTATGTACCGTTGATAAACTGGAACTGTAAGTTCTTATAGTAACTAACTGACCAAAATAACTAAATAACTAGGTGCCTCCGGGAGCTAATGGAAAATAACTCCTTTCCTGACGTTCCCTGATAACTTAATGATCGCGAAAACAGATCATACAGGTGTTTCTTAAAAGGGTGGAAGTCGTCCTACCTTCCAGGGCGCCTGCACGTTGGATGCTCGTTCCGCCAGAGACTGAGATCGATCGAGGAGCGGGCTGCTGCAGGTGAAAGTGGCACAGCCCCACCCCACCACGCGGTCTAGACATGCTTTCCCTTGCTGACACAGTTACAAACAAAAACGGGCAGTGACGCGGTCCCCCCCCCTCCCCCCTCCCCGATCCATTATAAAGAAAGAGCAATGTGCGAAGTGACATGAGCCATTGTTCCTCGAAACATTGAGGACGCAACTCAGCCAAGAGAAAATGAAAGGATTTCAGACTCCTTCCTGAACCGACTCACTGGCATCTCAGC